TCTCTATGAGAATGAAAGCCTTTAAGTAATAGATAATGTTTCAGGGAACTTTATTTTGGTTAATCTTCACTGTGGTAAATACAGTAATATTAGTTATAAACTTTGTAAATCTATGTACTTGTTTTAACCTTCATAGATTTATTTTAACAATGTTATAATGTCAACTAAAGGTCAAAAGGACCCCAGACTATTCTCAGCAAAAAGGTGATTGTGACCTCAGCCCATTTCATATGCTAATGTCATCCCTCTGCCTGCCTGAAGTGTATAAAATAAACCACTGCTGAAGGCAGAGCAGGAAGACTTGCACCCAACTCCCATTCCCTCGTCTTCCTTGCACCAACTCCCCTTTTTTTACCGTTTTTCCCCTTTTTCTAGGAATCTCCGCTGGCCAACGCAGTTCCCACCTTGAGAACCTGCCTGTTCTGCCCCCCAATAATCTGTGAGCGGGGACAAGGAGTCTCCGACAAATCACAATTTTTGCTGATATTTCTTCAGTTAATACAGCTCTTAAAGAACCAATTGTAGTGAAACCTCTCTCATGTTACAAAGAGACATTTCTCAGAATGATAATTTAGGAAAACTGACTAAAGAACCCAGTATCAGCCCCATAAAAGGAGAAATAAGATTTAAAAGTCAACAATTGTTGGTATAGCAAAAAGAAAAAAAAAATCTGGTTTAGAAAAAATAACAACCCAGTCCTACTAGAGACTTAAAAATTTCTATTCCTGGCTACTCTACATGCAATAAAACCATTGATCCACCAGTAAAATGATGGCATTTGTGAAGTGATATTTTTAGAGAGAGATTTAATAAAGCACAATAAATGTCTACCTCATTGTTCTACCAGTTCAAAATATAACCCAGGAAATCTGTTTGCATTGCTCCTGGACATTTTAAGATACCTAGTGAGACATAAAAGTCTTGGCAAGTGGATTTAAATTTTCCTATCTCATGGGTAAATGTGTTTTAGTCATAGTCTCTATGTTTTCTCATTAGATTGAGGCACTCCTTTATTAACAGGTTATCGCCTCTCCTGTGACCAAAGTCCTTTTGGAAAAATGATCTCTACCTGGGAATCCTACTGAACTTCATAGTAATTAATGAATCAATTTTACCAGACAATAATTTTGTGCAAATTTCTTTAAGGAAATGTGACATTTGTATTTGTACAAAGTATGTGCAAATATTTTGCAATAGTCCCACTGTTTATCAACCTGAACTTTTTGATTTGGTCAAATGCAAGACCAACATAATAGTATTAAATCTCTAGTGGCCAAATGTGTAGAAATTATAAATACTCTGGCCAAAAGCAAGGCCTTTTTTTCTTTTATAATGCAAATCTCACTCTAGGACTCCCAAAGCACCTAAACCCATGCTTCTTTTTGGGTGAACTGATTAAAGGAAATACAACCAAGAAGATAAAATGCACAAAATGAAGAAAGATGTAAAAATCAATTTTAAAAAAAAGGAAATATACTTCAACATTGTAAATGCACACTTGCTTCTATCAAAATTAACCATGTCTGGTTGAGCAATCTTCATATAGAATTTAGAAAGATAAAGACCTTTAGTGACATAGCTTGCAACCTGGAGATTTTAACTACTAGAAAAGACACCTCCAGACTCTTGAATCTTGCTGGAAACCTACCCCAGTCCCAAGCAAGCATTGCTAACAAATCTTTGTACAGCCAAACTTTAGACTCTTAAATTCACATGATACATTTAAATAAAACACCATCTCCTAAATTGAACTGCAGGCAACCTAGTAACCTAAAGGTTATTTGAGATTTACTACTACTACTACTGTCAGTGTTGCATTTGATCAAATCTGCACACTCTCCCTCCAACATGGGACATGACATACAAGGAAGGTTAGTCCTGGCACTGAGGAACAAACAAGTCACTGAAACCAGTTAAAACCCGACTCTGGATGGGCAATGCTTTCAGAGAAGAATCTGGATCAAAATGTGAAAATCCATATATAGAAACTCTCAATGAGATCCCGAAGCTGAGAGCTCCACCACACGCTGGCTCAATCAAGTAACTAACAGACCTGATGCAAGTCACAGAACAGGCATGTGCAACACAAAACTGAAGGTGCTATCCCACCTCAGGGGGAAGAGGAAGTTTCTTTTGGCAGAGTGACCTCTACAGAGATATTAAAGGGACAGCTACCTTCGATTCCAGTGTTAAGACTCACCATAAAATTGCACTTTCCAAACTGCCCTTTTGCCATTGTTTTCAAATAAACCCATTTTTTTTATGAAATAAATTGATTGCATTTTATTTGAGGTCAGCACTTCTTTCTTGTGACCCCAACATTCCCTCCCAAGCCAACCCCTACCCCCAGTTTGTAGACATTACTATAAATCCTACCTGCTGTGTGTAGGTGGAAGTCCAGAAAAGCAGCAAGCAGGTAAAGCCCCAGAGACTGGGCAAGAAAAGCCCAGTCGGCCAACACGTGAACTATCTCCCTGGTGGAAAAGGGCAGCCCACATAAAGCCACTTCTTCCAGAAAAAAAACTAGGGACAGGGCAGCTGATTGGTAGAAAGCACAGCACAGTCTCCTCTCCTAGAGCAGATTTCTGCTTGCAAAATACTTTCTCCAAGAAAAACTCTTTATTAGCCAGGCCACAGATGACCATATTAAGGTTGGTGGAGATGACAAGGAGGCAGCCCGAACTCAGGGCTGTAAACAGCTAACCACCATCTGCAAAGCTTACACCCAGAAGATGCTCCTATTGGGAGCCCCAAGTTAGGTAACCACCTGAGGATTCTGGGCCTGGTGCTCTGGACTCCACTTGCCACTAACACCCTCTGCCTGTCTGATGGGATCTCTACTCCAGATCCTCTGATCCTCTGGCGCTGAAGCTGAAGAGCTTATGCCGCCCGGATCCCGCTCTCCACGCACCGGATCCCACTCACCCCAGGACAGGCTGTCAGCTCTGCACTGCTCGTGAAGCCTGTGATCTAAAGTAATTCGCTGAGGAAAGAGAAAGAGGGGGAGGAGGAAGGGGAGGAGAAAGAGGAAGAAAGAGGAGGGTTTTTCAAAGCGAAAGCAAAGTATTGGGCCAGGGGGAGGGAGAGATGACTGGCTCTGGTATGGTAGGGAGGGCCGGGGATCCCGCAAAGCCAGCGGCAGCCCAGAACTCATCTCCCTCCCCCCCCAAGCCCCCCACCGCAGGCAGTTGTGGGGATGCTCACTTCCGGGTGCAGTTTCAGAGAGGCTTGGGACACCACGGCACTTAGCTTCTGCATGAATAGTAGGAGGGAAGGGAAATGGGAAAAATACCTTACTCTAATAGGAAGTGAAAAGAAATATTAAGATGGAGACTGTTACCCCTAATCAGAGAAAGGAAGGTTTTCCAGCTTGTGAGGAAGCGCTTAGCTTCCCGGGTGCATTCTTGAACTTGGAAAACAAAAGAGGAAACCACTCTTTCGTAAGAGTCCTGTGAACTTGGCTTGGAGAATTGGCCTTGGCCATGCTGTGATGACTGGAGACACTCAGGCTCAGGGCCCAGGCATTTTGTTTTCTTTTCTGTGGGATAGGGGGCCACTTTGATGCTGGAGGGAGAGGAGAATGGGAGCCAGAAAGAGGGGCGGGGACACAGAGTTTCCAGTGTTTTCCGTCAGTGGGAGAATGCCATTTCTTAATTACTGTCCTTACTTAGGCACACAAGCTTTTTGCAAACTAATAGCATTCAGCTGTGTGATGGCTCTTGGACAGGAGTAAAATCCACTGATGGCAACTAGAAGAATGAAAATAGCATTGATCTTGTAAAAGAATTAGAATGTTTAACTTTAAATCAGTAGCAATGTTTTGTATAATTTAATTATATCATTCTCAATTTACCTATTTTTTTCCAATTACCTTTATGAAGGTAAAGTTGGTTTACATCATTCATTGTGGAGTTATGTACAGCATAGATATTTAAAATTTTATATTTTTCTTTATGACTTATAGAAAAAATACTTATGCTGTGTTTTCTATATATAGTAGCATTTTTATAAATTTTTAAATATAATAAAATTACATATTCAAATTTAAAAATGAGAAACTGGGGTCAGTTTACTATGGGAGAAGTTTGAAAAGAGAAGAAGACACATGTCAGTGGAAGCTCAGGATTTTCATTTCCCCTTTTATAAATGTTATCCCCCCTTACATGTGTAAGTATGGATTTTAAAAACTACTTCTGTATTTCTCTGTAACAATCACACAAGATATTGCTCACATATAGAAATAGTGTTATATTGAATGCATAAAACAAACTACTGCCAACACTAAAGCAAAATATGAAATTATTCATTAACTTTAAATTCATGAGAGTGATCGAGAGATTAAGTGGAAATGTTCACAATGGCTACATGAAAAATTTCCCAAAATTCAAGACCAAACAAGTCTTGTAAAGCAATCTGCTTTGAGGGAATACACAAATAATTGAAAGCATGTCATCTAACCAAGATCACAGGTATTGAGGGCAAGAAGAATGACTCACACCCATGTCTTCCTGTTCTGATAGTGGTTTGACTTGAATACTTTAGGCTTTCAATAATTCTCATTTCCTGTACTAATTCTATTTTAGTTATGCCATTGTTCCTTAGCTACACCTTTTGTATTATTTTCTTTTTACTGGTAGTTCTTAGGTTACCCCAGTATGATAAAAGTTAAAATTGTAAACAAACAAATAACAACAACAACAAAACAAATCTGTACCAGTATTTTTCAGCCACTCAATCTTACAATTGCTGTCATGTATACATAAACACAAGTTAGCTACACAATACAATGTTAGATTTTGCCAAAACACTGAGTTGGCTTTTATAGGTAGTAGAAAAAGAAAAGCAAAGTTTTTATATTTATTCACATTTTACATGCTTTTCACTTTTTCTTTTAGATCAGTTTTACCTATTATCAATTTCCTTCAGGTTGGAGAATTTCATTTAGTATTTCCTATAATGCTGAACTGCTATAGATGTTCTTTTGTTCTTTCAACTTTTAAATGTGGAAATGTTTGTATTTTGTGTGCACTCCTTTAAATACAGTGGGCTCAGTGGGATGACTCCCAAAAGTCTAAGCCCTGAAATGCAAAAGTAGCAGGGTTTTACAGGTATCTTCACTGGAAGAAGAATTCTGGGTGGAAAGACATTTTCTTCTGACCTCCCTTTTTAACTGATGGGGTTTGTATTATTGGTCTTAAGCTGAATTTATTTTAACTTCAGTTTTCTGTAGTTTGTCTATAATGTGATTTCCTTGATATTCATCATACTTAGAGTCTTCTGAATACCATCATTTTCTGCAGCCATCACAGGCCGGATAGTTTTATCATTTCAGACAGCTTGAAAGAGAATCTTGGATCCCTGGTATCACCCTCACAGGTTATAGGAGAAAGGCCAGCAGGGAGAGAGCAACTTGGGACCCCTGCAAATCACTGTATGCCCTTTCCTCTCTGAGCCCTTCTCTCACACTGTGCACCCTAGGGTCTTCTGCCTCAGCTGCCCTTGGCTGCTCCCTTATATGCTCCCTCTCTCAGCACAGGGGCTCCCAATCACACATGCCCTCACCACGATCCAGGTGCTCCCATCAAGCACATGTGTCGATCGTTGATGATAATGGCGGGGCGACAGAAAAATCCTGATGACTTTACTGTTTTTGTAGATGAGCAATTTTGTCACTGCTGTTTCCTGGAGAAATCCGGCAATATTCACAGAGGTGGAGAGAGAAGGGTTCATTCTTCACATGGGTGGGCTCATAGTTCCCAAAATCTGAGCCCTGGAAATAAAAAATGGCAGGCTTTTATAGAGCTTGTGTGAGAAAGCTTGTCATCCCATCCACCAGGGACTTTTTGTATTGTTTGGGAAGGGGGGGTCAAGGTAGCCATGGCTACTACTGTGGACAAACAGCAGACTCACTATCCATTTCAGTAAACAGTGGAGTCCAAGAAGCAGACTCCAAGCAGCAGACTTAGCAACTTCCTGCTTCAGGTTGATATTTGCATGAAATTTGGGAAGCTTTCAAGCCACAATTTTAAAAGCAGTAAATCAGTGGAATATATTTAATGACAAGGAAAGTATGAGCATGGGATTTCAGAACTTTTTCCAAAGGTGCGAGGTAGAGGTCATAATAGAGAAGGAAAAAGTATGTATTAAATCATCACATCTATTCCAGGGAGAACTGATCATGGACTTCCTGAAAATAAATTCTTACATGGGTACAAATTGGCCATTACTTTTGCTTCCTTGAGGTCATAATTTCTTTAAAATATAACCATACTCCATTTCCTCTCTTTCTGTAAATTCTATTAATCAATGTTAGATTATTTGTTGTCTCACAGGTCAACAAAATTTGTTTGATCTTTTCAGTTTTTTTTACTATAAATTTAACAATTTCTATGACTTTTCTCTTTAAAATTTTCTGGCCTATGTCAATATGCCATTAAGCTAGTAGAGTTATTATTACAGTTTTCACACCTAATATTTCTGCCTCTGCATTGCAGGGAAGATAGAGACACCTGTCTTACCTCCTCTGCAGACTCCACCATCACCTAAGTGGTTTCCATAGCATCTGCTAGGTAGGCAGCCAGAGCTGGCAAACCCTCTACGTTTACTAATTGTTAGCACTCAGTAATCCCATCATTCGATGGTAAACATTTAAAAAAAAACACACATTTTTTTAAGTTTTATTCATTTATGCATACATAACTGGGCATGTCTTCAGGCTGAAAACCTGAATGGGAGCAGGTACTGTCTGTTTTGGTGTCTCTCTTATCTTCCTGAAAATCATCCACTAGCCCTACCTGGTAAGAGCCTGAACCAATAACAGGTGAAAACACAGTATTATCCCAAGGCTTGGGAGGACCAACAATCATTTGCCCCTCCTGGCAAGAGGTTTGACCAAGTTAGGGAGGAAACACATCTAGGGGAAACACCACCTACAACAATGAAGTCCTGAAAGCAAATATTGGGAACAAAAACTCAACAAAGGGCCATGTGAGTCCTCAGGGTACTAGTATACCACAAGAGATAAAACATATATCTGAGCCCTCCTTGGTGATGTAGCATGTTAAAGCACGGCACTAAGAAGCTAAAGCCACTTCAGCATGAGTTCCAACCCCAGCCCCAGAGGTGATCCACATGGTGTGGCAGACCTCTCCTGACCTGCCCATTGCTCCCCTCAGCAGTGTCCTTTGTCAAACTGCCTGTTCTGCTCCCCGATCTGTCTCAGGTAGAGACTCTCACCACCTCTGCACCACTGGCCTGTACCCCAGATATTTATTTACATATAAATAAATAATTCTTAAAAAACAAACAAACAAAAAACCACATGTATCTGAAACCATTAACAAAAAACTATGTTTCCCATCAGAGTTAAAAAATTTCACGATAAAAAAATCAAAAAGTG